CATCCACAATCAAACACACCCGCTTGTAATTTCCAATTATGGATGCAGCAGAACTCTGTAGAAAAGAATCCTGAACCCTCCAGGACCGGAATTGCCCATCCCTGCTCTAGATGGTTACCCATGTTCTGCAAAATGACCCCAAATCACCCCAACCCTGCACCCTGAAGAAAATGTACTCTTGTGTGAGGGCCACCTTTTAGACATTACTGATTGATTATGTGTTTTCTGTTTACATTGAAACATCATTGAAAGCATATCAGAACATTCAAAGCAAAAAAAAACTTTGAGTTTTTTTCTTTCTGCAGTGATGCAAAGTAATCAGCAGGATTTTTTTCTGTTCTAAGCTCAAATGTTTCATTTGATTGCACTACTTTTAATGTGCACACTTCAGTTTTTTCTACCTTGCTATTTGCAATGCTTTTCAAGTGAAGGTCAAGGTGCCAAAAGCACCAAAACCCTGACATGAGTCATGTGTAAGGGCCTTAAGCTAGAGGTAGGATAAACGTAACATATTAAAAAAATACTGCACTTTGTATTGGTTTAAACTAAGAAAACAGAAAGAAAAAAAAAATACAATTTGATACCTCTCCCTCGGATTCGTGTGGGCTGTAGTAGTAGCTGCCATCATCTTCCATAATCACCTCTCCATATTCATCATACATCCCTGTTGGAGAGATCAGCTTCCGTCGACTCCCATACTGAGGCAAGTCATAGCTAAAAGACAGTTATACATGATTATTGCATATACCTCACGCACGCACGCATGCACACACACATTTGAAAGTATTCCTATCATTATGGGGACATTCCATAAGTGTAATGTTTTATTTTTTTTACTGTATAAACTGTATTTCTATCCCCTTACCCTACCCCTAAACCTAGCCATCACAGGAAACTAAATCATTCTGTATGATTTATAAGCTTGTTTCCTCATGGGGACATAAAAAATTTATCCACAAAGTAAAAATGTACTGGTATTACTATACTTGTGGGGACATTTGATCCCCATAATGTTGTGAATACCAGTGCACACACACACACGGAAAATATTTATGAATAAATGAGCAAAAACTTTCTCCCTAACTGTCCCCTAAATCAAAACGAAAACGTTATGAAAGTTCTGGGACATTAAAATAAAAGGCAAATCCAATAAGTAAGATTTAGAAACATAACCTCATAGCACTATATGGAAAAGGTCAAAACAGACCTTCATTAAGGACTTTGAGTATTCTTGGGGAGCAGCAGGCTGGCTGAACCCAAATGCAGCTTAGGCAGCCCATTTAACAGGAAACAAGTTGAAATTCAGGATTATATTGATATTCTAGTTTGTAGCCATGGAGGTTTTCATTTGGATTTATTGAGATAAGAAGGATATATTGAAGACCAATGTGGTATACAGCAGGGGACTGCAACTGATCACATTTGTACAACCTACTGTATAAGGCAATAAGAAAACATGGCTAGCATTCAGTTTTGCTCAAATATCTTTGATAGTCAGTTAATTACCATCACCTCCCTCAGGGGGCCATTCATTTCTAACACCTATTTCTATTGTGTCCTGCTAATTGGCTTCCATATGGATATTATTGCTATTACAGCCAAAAAGACACAACCAGGAGACAAACGATGTTTAGAGAAAATTACACAATTCTTCATCTAGAAACCACATAAAATAAAGTCCTAGAAATCGTACAAACTGATTTATTAAATGCAGCAGGCTTGACACATATCTTAAAAATTGTATTTGGGCCAGCAGCACATTTCGATCAATGAATGCACACTCACCCATGATCATAATTGTAGTAATCCTGTGTATAATAGTCCTGTCCTGGGTCGATACCAGACTCCATGGAGAGTTCCTGTGAGCAGAGCAAAGAGTTATAATTCAAAGAGCGCATTGCTTTAGGCAAAATCCTTGGGGAAGACAGATGAAAGTGCTGCCCATTACAAAGAAGAAAAAAAGGAATTTCTGTATTTCTTCATTTGGTAAAAGCTACGTGGCTACATTAGCCCTTCTTGTGAGTGAATGCAAAAAAATTATATATATTTGTTTGTTATTTCACTTTAATTGCGTAGAAAAGAACTACATATTCGTGTTCATTAAATGACATACTACAGCACATTCAGCTCATTCAGAGTATAAACGTTGCGATTCTCTACCTCTGGTCTCAAGAGAGAGGGTCGAAGCAACTGCTGTTGCTGCACAGCATTCAGCAGAGAAACAGTGCAGAAACAAGAGAGAAAAGTAGGAATATTACACAATCTATGTGAGAATGAATGATAGAAGATATAAAATAAGTACAGTTGGATCCACAAGTCTGTGATTACACTGAAAACCAGCAACTGAAAATCTGAATTTAACCCTGCAAATATGCAAGTTTTAGGGTTTAGAAAAAATGTAATAAACATTTGAGAACGTCTTCGTACAAAAGGTCAGATTTTCTTACTTTAGAGAAGACATTCTGATAAATTGTGTTCATTTTAGTTCATTTATTTTGCTGAAATTACACTGATAAAAAAATTAGTGTGAAAGAAAAAGAACTAAAAACGATTCAGTTAGAAAAAGACTGATTTTTACTAGTGTTTTCAGACTTTAGCACCCCACTGTAGTTTTTTAAGGAAGAAATCACTTGATCTGTTTACATGCAAAGTTCTCAAGAATGTCTTCCATTAAAAAATAAAATAAAATAAAAAATAATGTAAAAAATAAATAAATAAATACTAGAGTTTAAAGAATTATATGGTAAAGCATTCAAAAATCTTACATATTTAGAAACAATGTTATAAACATTATTATTATAAAGCAGATAGTTCTTAATTCATAATTCATAATCTTAATTCTAGTTCTTAATTTATAAAATAATATATATTATCCACTCGCTTTATTGCTTTATTTAAACGCACTTTGGAATTCATAAAATCGAACCTCCTGAGAATATGAATATATATATACAGTATATATGAGAAATGTTATCAGCAAGTCAAACTCCAAATTCACAGATCTAGCCTTCAGCAATTTTACAGACGATATCTTGACAAATACTAATTTCTTCTGTCATCACTGTCCCTATCAAATAGCATCAACTGATAAAAATTATAAAAATGATGGCCAATAAAACTGTCTCAAGATGAGACATCATTCGAACAATGCAATTCCAAAGAATAAAAATACATACCTCCTGATGCCCGTAGCCTCTCCTGTGAGGAGATAATAGTATGGAAATAAAGTCAGTAAGATTATTACGATTAAACCTTGATATTTCATATCTAGAAAGTGTTTTAGTTCTTTATCTCAAACTGGACTGTCAGATGTGACAAAGTCTTTAAATGTTTAGCAGATTTAATGCATAAGATGAGACAGCGTTTCCTTGAGATGAGGTTTCAAGGACAATGTCTGTTAAGTTTTTTGCTAAGAACTGAGCGCGTATGTGTGGATAAATATGCAGATATACAGTAGTCTGAAACAAAACTTTCGGTGAGTATTTCACCTGAAAACTTGCTCACCAGTGGATTATCTGCAGTGAATGGGTGCCGACAGCTGCTAAAAACATCACAATGATTCACAAGATATATTTGTTTAGAAAAGTTTTGGACTGTTTTTGCTTTTAAACGGTGTTTGATCTTTGCATATTTCTCTCCTGATTCAGATGAGATGACTTTTTCACATATTTTGGATAAAAATGTCTTTATGGATTTGTTTGATGGATTTGCACCATGATGTTTTTGTCAGCTGTTTGGACTCATTCTGACGGCACCCATTCACTGCAGAGGATCCACTAGTAAGCACTGGTGTGAAGCTACATTTCTCCAAATTGGTTCCAATGAAGAAACAAACTCATTTGCATATTGGGTAGTGAGTATTATTATTAATTATGGGATTTGTGTTTCAGGGACGTTACTCTAGGGGTCAGTGGTGGGCACTAAATGGCAATGAAGCTCACAGGCCACATTGCATAATGAATCTGTGTTAACACCACTGATTCAAAGCAGACAATAAGACAATGACATGCCCATAGAGGAGAACATCTAGACACTGGTTCGCTGCAAGGACAAGTGGCACAACATTCGATGAATGTTAACACCCTCAAGCCTTTAATGACATTAGACATTATCATGTGTGACAATGCTTGGCACGCAAAGACAACCTAAAAAACAACAACATTTGATTACACTTTATCAGGTGTGTGTTAGGGGTACATAGGGTTTATATGGAGACAGGCCAGCATTTCCTAAGTGGCAGGACCATTTCACTGAAAGCGTAGCAAATTTAAATTCTCTCCAGGCAGCAGATCAGCAAGAGCAAATTACCGCAATTCTTCCCTGATGTGGGCATAATGAGGGATTCAAATGAAGATTTATCTCTTGACGATAATATGCGACTTTCAAGGGACTTTTGTTTTGTTGATTTTTCTCTCTTTATGTGAGTGCGTTTGCAGGTGTAATTACGTGTCAGTCCTTGAATGACATATGATATATTACATGATATGTAATTATAATTGAAGTATATAATTACATACTAATTATGTTATATAGTTATAACAAGGTCAAGGTACAACTGCATTTCCATCTTTTTTTTTCCCCTCAAAAAGGAAACTTACCAAAGCTAAATTAACCCTGCTGTGCTATATTAATTATCTGATCATCTTTCTCAATTCCTTCAAGGTCACACAAAGTAATTAAAAGATTAAAAATAATTTAGCATTAGCTGGCACGTTCTATTCTATGTGGAGTTTATTTTTATTAAAAGTAATGGGAGCCAGTACCACCAGTGACAGCATATAGAGAAAGGTATTACGAAGGCGTTGTTTTCAGCATCACGCAAATATAAATCATTTTGAATATGAATCATAAACTACATAACAGGATAAACATCACTAATATGTCAAGAGGCCCTTCAAAAATTCATATTTAGAATATAGAAACTGTTTGTTTAATAACTATACATAATGTATTCATATTTACTATAAGTAGTTAAAATGTTAGAAAGTATTTTAAAAGGGCTGCACAAAAAAAAATCACTTATGCCGATTACAATACGCAGATTAGTTACATATCACATACATCAATATGTGATTAAACGTGTTATCACATTATTCTTTTGTAATTAAACACACTGAATTAATTTGTTCACAGCACTAATTTTAGACATGCATTCTTTTCTGCACTGCAGTTTGGCTTTTGCCATCTGCTTTGCCAGTGTTTGAAATGCTGACTAAACAGACATTATTAGTGACAGATTAATCTGGTTTGACTGTGCTAATTTTAACGCACAGAGAGCTTCCCTCCTCCCTCTGATTGCCATAAAGATGTTGTTTGTTCCCTAACACTGTTAATATGTCATGATGGCACTGCTAGTCCTAATGGAACATGGCACTACAGATTAGAAAAACAAATCATGGTATAAAATGGGAAAGTATGGCATGATGCGAGTTATCTGCAAAGAAAATTTGAAAGAAACAACAGTGCTTGAATGATAGTAAAGTAAAAACGTTTAGGTATTTACTAGTTTTAGTAAATCATCACCATCACAAAATAAGTTCTAAATGGTTTAATACATATTAGAAAGAAAAGAAAAATTACAACATTTAGTGTGAAGACCAAATCGGAATTCAAAAGGCAAATATTGATGATGGTTTTTGAATCCTGCACATTAATTGTAAATCAATGAGAGATTTTTCTGTCTTCACTCTTAAATTTCTTTCATATAAAAACAAAATAAAAAAAATACATAGCTCACATAACATTGAGGTGATCTACAAAAAGTTTGAATGGAGTCTATATTAAGGGTCTGAATTTATAGCAGACATTTAATAGGGTGAGAGGTTTAAAACAACTGAGACACTTTTGAATGTGCTACAGCACAAGAACAAAAACAATATGGTATAGTTGTCTACTGCTGCAAGTCGACAATAATCGGATGTAATGGTGCAGCATCCATCCATAAGTATCATAACAATTAAAGCCGGGATTAGGAGGACATTTGCTGAATCGAATGCAGCGTGTTTCTGTTTAAATAAGTAAATGGAGGACATATCACCAATCAGAAAAGCTCTCTCTCTCACACACAAACACGCTCGCACTAAATTGATTTATCCAATAATTACAAGCAACTTGACGACTCCGTTGCCTCTCAAACCTCCTAAAGTGTGCACAGTCACGTACCATAGAGCCATTTAAAATTACAACAAACTTGTTTCTCTTCAGTGCTTTTCTAGTCCTTTCTAACAAAGGCAATTTGCACATCTAGCACAAACAGTTTGCAGCGAATGCTTGCACTGAGAGAGACACACAATGTACTATAACCGCTGTACTTAAAGGTGTAGTTCACCCAAAAATGAAAATCCAGTCATTAATTACTCACCCTCGTGTTGTTCCAAACCCGTAAGACCGTCGTTCATTTTCGGAACACAATTTAAGATATTTTTGATGAAATTTTTGATGAAATCTCTGACCCTCCCATAGACAGCAAGGTAACTACCACGTTCAAGGTCCAGAAAAGTACCAAGATGATCGACACATGCTCACATCATGGTACTGTCGTGAACGCGCGTCCACTAATGACGCAGTAGTTGTGACGAAGTGACGAAAATGTGGAATAAAGTCATTATTTTAGTTTTCTTTGAACAAAAAGTATTCTCGTAGCTTCGTAACTTTACAGTTGAACCACTGATGTCACACAATGTACTTTGTCGATCATCTTGGTACTTTTCTGGACCTTGAACGTGGTAGTTACACTGGGAGGGTCAGTGTTCCGAAGATGAACGAAGGTCTTACGGGTTTCGAACAACACGAGAGTGAGTAATTAATGACAGAATTTTAATTTTTGGGTGAACTAACCCTTTAAAAATAAATTGATCATAGTTATACAGTCTTTATACAATGAAGACTGACACTTTTTGAAGTGCAGTGTTTTGCTACTTTTGCATTGAAAATACAAGTATTTCCTCACAATCCTCTTTCATGTAAAATCAAAGCAATGGTTTGACTATCTGAGCTACATGGCACTCTTGATGCATATAGTGTCACACAGGCTCACACTTTGAGGTCTAATGCACAGATCTGATAATTTTACACGCATCCTATTTTAAATTCAGTCTGTTTACGTTCACATAAACGACTGTGCTTATATGAATATCCTGTGCCAGATATTGCTCAAAACTGGTAGACAGTGTAAATGTGGCGCCGAGGCTGTACTAATACAATTAACAAGAGAAAACGTGAGAAAAAAAAGAAAGAAAGAGAAATGAGATATGAGTGCATGCAGTGTACCTCAGAAAAAAGCTTTATAGAGGACATTTATCCCATCCAGTGACAGTAACATATAGCCGACGTTAGGGCATATGAATAGGAGAATTTCTATAAGTAAAAGTGTTTTGTGTGCTAAAACATTAAAATGCCTGTATGAAGGTTTAACTCAACTAAATAATAAAACACTTGCAAAACTTATTAAAAATACAAAAACTGTAAAAGCACAAACATTTGATTTTGTTATACAGTAAGATGAAACAATGATAAGACAAAAAGATGACAAGAACGTAGTGATAATCTAAGGGGCCGTTCACACAGGACACATTCTTGTGCTGGTGCCACTGGCACCATACTCTACTGTTTGAGCTACAGGAATGCCTTGTCTATTGTAATTTCTGCTTAAGTGTGCCGCAAAAAGTGAAGCCAAAGTGTTTTGATCGCCCCCAGGTGGCTGGTCCTGTATAGGTCATAAACCCCACCCTCTCCATGTAATCTAATGGGATGTGAGACAAATGAAATAATTAAATTTCATTTCAAATAATTTTTTTCCAAAGATGGTTTTTGTCATTTTATGTAGTTTTTATCACGCTGATGTAAGTTCAAGAGTTCGTTTTTTTAAATAAGTTTGGTTTTAGTTATGTGATGCTATAAAAATCGGAGAGTGACATGATTGACAGCTGAGATTGACAGCTTCTCTGAGCGAACTGAGGCACAAACTAGTTGTATTTACATTATTTTAACACAAGCATCTTGTACGGCAACCAGCAGACACAAATTTGAGCAGTCAGGCTAATTAAAAAAGGGTCAGGGGCATGTGCTTGCGATCGACCCTGCGGGTGTGTGGGCGGGATGCAGCTCCACTTTGCTCACTACTGCGCAGACTCGGGTCCCAAATCAGTGCAATATGTTCGCACCCTATTGGGACATTGACGGCTTTACTTTTCTTCAATGGAAGAGAGTGGAGGTGCACGGTCTATCTTTTTTAAAGTCTATGGTTCTGCTGCACTCTAGCAAAATTCTGTAATGCTAGAATGCATCCTGTGTGAACAGCTTCTAAGACAGTAATAGCAACATGGACAGAGAGTGTCACATGATAGTGGACTGAGAAGGAAAGCGTGTCTCCAGCTCCTCCACTAGTGAGTTCATGTTTGGAT